ATACACATCCACTCCACTTGATATAAAAATCAAACCTCACCCATTTCAACAAAACAGCCGGTGTCCATGTAAATCTACCTGGCAAATACGAGCCCAGGGCCGGGGACAAGTCCTCATAACGTGATCACAGAAGGTGGATTTTCCACTTCCGGGTGCACCCACCAGTAACACTTTTAACTTCCCCATTTCTTCCTCGTCTTCCTCATCTTTGAAGAAACAATTAACGTAAAAAGGTGTTTCAGCATCTCTTTTCATCATAACGAAAAATTCATTAGATAATTCTAAAACCGAAATGGAGAATAACACACTCTTGCGAGTGATGTGACCTTGAGACGTACTACCACGATCAATTGCCATGGTCTGATTTCCGTACGGAATGGGAAAAAAATCGTTCGATGGCGCACCTCTAATGTAAATTTATGTAATTTAGTTTTTACAACGATAAGCGTGTCATGGTCAAGAGCTAGTATTATCTTGCAAATCTCCGGCTCTAATATTTTAGAATTAAATTGAGTTGACCAAAAATTGTTGATAGAATCTTTGACATCCTCACACATGCATGTAAGACCAACGTGGATAAAAAATTCCAAAAAAACTGACCTCTTCCTCATATTGATATTGTGAGTGTTCGATCAAAGAGGCTGTCAATTCCTCTTGTCAGTGTAACAAAGTGAATATTTTAATGGTTAATAGCATATATTTACATTCCACTCTAATTTTTTTTATTGCTGATCACTTCGAGATCGAGAATAACAATTTATTAATGCATAAAAATAAATACATTACAGCGAGTAGGACTTATTTTTAAAGTAAAAAAATTATTTTGAGAATAACTTATATTTTTATTTTTATGTCAAATTAAATCAAATTCTAATATATTTACTTTTGAGTTTATATAACGTATTTTACAGAGTTTGTGATTTTTTATTTTAGCTTGTGTGAACCCAATCATGAAAGGCATAAATCCACAATGTTAATCGATCCTTATGCATTCAACTTCATAAAATTTCAATAATTTTAAGATGTTGACTAAATCTTAATGGACCTATCTAATAATTGAAACTCCAAGTATCAGTAACTCGCAAATTTTAACCCTTTTTACAACATTTGGTACTCTGCCCCTTTTTACAACATTTGGTATTCTGCAATACTCTTCAACGTTCTCTATGAATAGAATCAGAATTTAGAAGTACATAACAGAAAATTTTAAACACTAGCTTACTAATGGTATCATAACCAATAATATCTCCTGGGTTAAAAATAGTTTATAATGAAAAAGTTATTGATTCGTCATCCCCTAAAAAAAAGTCTTTAATTATGATGCACAAGATAATTGAAGCTTTGCACGCCCAAACTGGATTTAAAGTGCCAACACAGTTCCAACAACTGGTATCTGAAAAACAATCACCCAGGCAATAATCATGTCGAGTATGAGATGATGTGAAAAGGGACTACACTGAGTAGAAAACCCATTCTGAATGAAGTCGCCAATTAAGAATACGAGCCATCCCAAAATTCTTTCCGCGCGTTTGGGGCCAATGCTTAGATTCATAATTGACCAAGCACGAGTTGCATTTGTGAAGGGTAGAAGCATGATAGAAAACATTCACTTGGACCAAGAGCTTTTGAGTCATTATAACCGTAAATAGGTAGCCCCAAGATGCCTTCTTAAAATTGAATTGAAGAAGGCCTGTGACTCAATTAATTGAGATTTTCTTAGAAGGGTGCTTGAAGGGTTGGGATTCCCAACTACTTTCATTGTTTGGGTGATGGAATGTGTTACAACATCTACACACTCTATTGCACTTGGGGAGCATCCATGGTTTCATTGAGGAAAAGAAAGGTCTCAACAAGGTGACCCTCTCTCCCCATTCCTATTTGAGTCATGCCTTGAATATTTTTCTAGAATGGTGAAAGGAGCTATCAAGAATAGTGAATTCAACTTCCATCCTGAATGTGCACCTCTAAGGATCACTCGCTTGGCATTTGCGAATTACTTGATGTCATTTGCTAGAGGGGATTTTATATCAGTTGGCATCTTGATGAATTGCTTAACTAGATTTAGTGATATGTCAGCACTTAAAATAAATGTTGACAAATCTAGCTTGTATACCGCGGAAGTTCATGGGCAAGAGTTGGAGGATATTCTTGCATTAACAAACATCCCAAAGAGTATACCATGCCATTTCGCTACTTGGGCATCCTACTTGTGGCACAGAAATTAAAGGTTAGCTCTTATGATTCCTTCATTAACTAGATTCCATACTATATTGGTGCATGGTCGACAACTTCTTTGTCATATGCAGGGAGAGCAAAGCTTGTGAGATCAGTTCTTCAAGGGGTGGAATGCTTTTGGTTATCCATATTCCCCATACCGACTACAATTGCCTCCAAAGTCATTAGTTTGTTGGAATTTCATATGGGGATCCAAAAAACCATTGGTGGCTTGGAACAATATTTGTCTACCAAAGCATGGAGGATATAGATTTAGAGATTAAAAGCTAGAATTTTGTATTACTCTCAAAAAAACTTCGAAACATGCATAGTAAAAAGGATACCCTTCGGATTAAATGGATCGATCAGGTGCACTTTCGTGGCACGAACATTTGGGAATGCATGGTGAGAAAAGACAACTCTCCTCTACTTAAAAAAGTGCTAGAAATCAGGGACGACATCATGGGACCTGGACGGTGCATTTAGATAGGAATGCACAGGCTGGACGAATGGGTTGTGGCCGACAAATTTACTGTTCAAGTAACTTATGAATTTTTCAGGCCGAAGGATACTAAGGCAATTTGGGCACTTACTGTTTGGAATGCCTCAATGATTCTAAAGCACGCGTTCATCCTTTGGTTGGGAGTTCAGTCCAAATTACTAGCTAAAGACAAGCTTCACTACTTGGAAGTGGACAGGAATTGCATCTTTTGTGATGAGGCGAAAGAGATTGCACAACATTTGTTTTTTTCTTGTACGTTCAATAACTCAATTTGGGGACAGATTCGCGGTTGGCTCGCCATCACATGTAATATGCCTACTTTGTCGAGCTCATTGAAATGGATGAAGAACGAAGCTCGAGGAACGACTTGACAAAGCAAAGTCAAGAGAATGGCTCTAGCTACTACAATTTATCACATATGGATAGCGTGGAATATGAGGATTTTTGATAACCTACGAAACAAGTTGATTGTATTGTTAGACGGATTAAAACATACATATACAATGTCATGTTTTCTTTGTATCCACATGTTTTAATCCATTTTGAATCTTTAGCATTGGGTCCATAACAATTATTATTTGTACATCTTTCATTTTGTTCGCCCGGGCATGCTCGAAGTACTTGTAATCTTCACTTGAATGTTGTTTGCCCGGGTATGCATGGTGTATTATTATATGATTTTTGATAAATAGAATTTCACATTTACCAATATATATATATATATATGTGTGTGTGTGTGTGTGTGTGTGTGTATTATTGTAAATTGGATATAATTCATTCTTGATGTGAGGGTGTTTAAGTAGTTATAAATCTACGAGATTTTACTTGGTGATGGGAGATACAATTAGAATTTTTATATTCCACTAGATATTCATGGACTTACCAATACACCATGACCAAAGGATTGGGGCGGGGGGG